AAAATATTGGAGAGGGTTTTTTTCACCCGGCCCCTCCTCCTCAGACTTGACGCACACGCAGGTTGCCAGATTGACGACACCAACAGGAACGAGCAAACTTGACAATAAATTAAATGAAATGCGCTGTGTTTTCCGCCAACTGGCAACCCGGGGTGCCGAAATACAATTGGGTAAACTGGCAGTGGGCGGGTTTCACAAACCAAAACAGAGACCGACATTCCGGCCCGGAACGCACATTTTCAAAGGAGAATAACTGACTGTAGCACTGTTTTTCAGATAAACAAGTATGTTGACTTAGCATGTTTCTTAAATATCTGCAAACATATTATGGTATTTGTATGCTTTAGTCAAAAACTTAACATACAGCACCTTTAAGTTGAATTTAGATTGTGTTGAACTGTTTATTTTCATATGCAAACAAATTGTAACTGATATCTCTCTTTTCAGGGCTGTTATCCCGTGGAGTTAGAGAGAGGACAGAAAGGTTTTGGCTTCAGTCTGCGAGGAGGGAAGGAATATAACATGGGCCTCTTCATCCTCAGACTAGCTGAGGACGGTCCTGCACTGAAAGATGGCAGGATACATGTAAGTTGACATTAACTCATGACATTAACACATAATACACAAAGAACCTTAATGAAACAATTATGAAACATCATATTAATAAATGGAACATTTAACCATTCAAACCGTTACGTTCAACTGTTCAAACCGTTTGAAACTGTTCAAAAGTTTGAAGTCAGTAGGATTTTTTACTTTTTTTTTTTAAAGAATTCTTTTATGCTCACCACTGCTGTATTTATTTATGCATATATTATATAATATTTATTTAAAATACTGCAAAAATAGTAATATTGTGAAATGTGATTACAATTTAAAATGACTGTTTTCTATTTTAATAAATTTTCAAAAGTTATTTATTTCTGTGATGGCAAAGCAGAATTTTCAGCAGCCATTACTCCAGTCTTCAGTGTCAGACATTTCTGATCCTTCAGAAATGATTTTAATATGCTGATTTGCTTCTCAAGAAACATTTCTCCTTATCAATGTTGAAAACACTTATTTGTGGAAACTGTGATGCATTATTTCAGGATTCTTTGATGAATAGAAAGTTCAAAAGAGCAGCATTTATTTGAAATGGAAATCTTTTGTAACATTATAAAAGTCTTTACTGTCACTTTTGATCAATTTATGTTTATTGCTGAATGAAAGTATACATTTCTTCAAAAAAATCTTACTGACACTAAACGTTTAAACAGTAGTGTGTATTTTAGATCAAATAAAACATTATTGAATAATAACATTTGAAAAATAACATTATTATTATTATACAGTTAAATTATATAACAAGTAAAATACAAATAAATCAGTGGTTCTGTGTTTGTAACCTCACAGGTGGGAGATCAGATTGTGGAGATCAACGGTGAACCCACACAGGGCATTACACACACACGGGCCATTGAGCTCATCCAGGCCGGGGGCAATAAAGTGTTGCTGCTTCTGAGGCCCGGACTTGGCCTGGTGCCTGATCATAGTGAGTCTGTTTAATACCTGACCTCTCAAACAATGAACCGACATAGCTGAGAGACGCTCTCCATCCCAAACCACCTCTTTAAGTTTAAGAGGTGCAGAATCGCTCATTTTAATTCCGTCTGCTTCATGAACCGAGAAAAATCAGTTCCCTCAAGCCTGCATGTTCCCCTCTGAGAAACAAATCCATTTCTGAAGATGGGTTTGTTTTCTACTGCTGTTTCAAAAGCCATTGAAAATGCATTGTGACGGTTATCTTTTCTCAGCAGAGTGTTTTCTAAAGGTACTTCATGCAACATGGGTACTCTTGTTCAGAACATTATTACAATATAGTCATAAAGAGTATAACCACGGTGGATTTACTGAAATATTACAATCATCATCGCACTTACCTTTATATTGCCTAAACATCACATGCATATTGATCAACACTAACTGCCAAAATAGATAAGTATGCACACAATTACTCCATTATTAGTGAATGAGTCCTTTTGAGTGATTTGGGTATGTGGGTCATATGCATGTTATGTCAGACCTTCCTATCTTCATGCATTGCTGTCACTCTTGCTTCCTGTCTCAATTTTTGCTGGTTTCTTTCTCTCTGTCCGGGCACTGTTCTATGCACCTCTTTCTCTCTCTCTCTTCCTGGTTTAGGTCTGAACTCTTCCTCCTCCACATTGTGCTTCCACATGAAACCAGAGCATCACTAAAGGCTTCTCTGCTTTTCTTGGTCTGTCCCTATAATAACTTTGGTAAACTTTGCAGTCCTCCTCTATGCTTATTTTGTGTATGTGCAGTTCTGCCTTTCTTTCCCTTTCCTTTGCCTTAAAATTAACCTTTTGATTTTGAATGTCACTAAAGAAAAGAAGGAAATATGAGTGATCACAATTCACAATTCATGATCATATATTTCTATATAAACACAGTAATGACTGGCCATTTTCTAGATCACTTTCCTTTTTTGTGATCATTTTTATTAAACAATTATCACATAAGTTGTTGCTTTTAAGTCATTGTAAATTTATATAAGAATGGTTTACAAAGGATTTACAGTACAACGTTTTTATTTATATTATATACTGTATATTTATGATTTAGATAGAAATATGTTCTGTATCTGTATCATGAATGAAGCCCATTATTTTCATAGTTTCATAGTTTTTAGTTTAGTTTAGGTTTTTTGTAATTTTGCAAAATGTGCTTTTGTCATTTAAAAAAAAAAAA